TCATTCCCAATTGGTATTGTTATAGATTTAGGTTGAAAATCTAATAATTATATCATTAAAGACTTCTACTTAATTTATTTATATATATATTGCTGCTTGTGTGTTCTAATTTTATGGCACCTGGTCATAGTTCAAACTCATGGACAAATAAAAATTTTTTTCTCCTAGAATTTTAAAAAATTTATAATAATCAAAAAATAAAATTCTCTTCAATACAATGTGCTCAACTTTTAAAAATAATTTATCTCCATTCTAAAAAATTATAACTATTTATTAATTTATTATTTTAATCAATTCATATAAAAATAATTAAACATTATATTTTAATTACAAAAATACTAGAATATTGAATATTAGGTGTATATAATCAAATATATATATATATATATATATATATATTATACTATTGATATATATAACTTACATTTCATTCAATTTAATAAAAATTTTTAGAAATTAAAAATTTCAAGGATGTTATAACTATATATTTAATTTTTAGCATTTAAACAAAATATTATTTCATTTCAATTTAATAAAAATTTTTAGAAATTAAAATTTCAGGATGTTATAATATATATTTAATTTTTAGATTTAACAAAATATAATTTAATATAATTTCTCTTTATGAGATTAATTTTTCACTATTTATATTATATTTAATAGTATGTATATCATCCGTATCTTTACTTATGCATATCTTTACTTCATAGATGTATTACATATTACTGTTATATATATATATATATATAGTTACTCTTAATGATTTAATTAGTAGTTTAAATTAATGTACTAATTGAATCATAAGAATAAATATTTAGCATATGAACTAATTATGTGAAGCAAAGGTATATATAGTTATGGAATTATAAGAGACGTTTAAATCTTAAAATCTTAAAATAGTAATTAACTCATAAGGAACAATTATAATAAATACTATTTCATTAAATTAAAAAAATTAAACATGCTTACATGGTAACATCTTGAAATTTCAATTTCAAAATTGATTTAATTTAAATCAAAATATGATAATTTATGTGTCAATATGTATTTTTGTATTTTATAATCAAAGTATAATTTTTCAAATATTTTTATACGAATTAATTAATATAGTAAATAAGTAAATAACTTTTTTTAACTATAGAAAAATTGACGGTACTTAATTAAAATGCATTTTTTAAGAAAAATTTCGATAAGTTTATTATAATTTTTGGTTTTTATTTCAATTGTTATGAAGTTTTGGAGAAAAAGAAAAAGTTAAAACTACTATTTTACTCTTGTTTGAGCCAGCTTAAGCTATGCTATTTAGCATCATCTATAAATGAAAAGGACCTTGTATACATAAAAGACCTTGTATCTTGTATTTTTATCGGTTATCAGGACAATTAACAATTATTTAAATAGCTATATTTTTCCAACCATAGCACCATCTTTGCTGGTTTTATTATTTAAAAGATTATATTGGACTCTATTAACTATGGTAATGTGTTTCTGTATGATCTATATGAATAATTATTTACAAGATTCGAGATTTTAATATTATTAATGAATTAAAATTTTTTATTTTATATATGTATAAAGTTTCTAGTAATATTTTATATTTTATAATTTATAATTTTTAAAAAATTTTTTAAAAATTAGAACCTAAATTAGAAAAAGGAAAGTGACTATCATAAAATGGTATCACCAACCAATTTCAGGGTTACGTAACGTACTAAAATGATCAATTTTTATTAGCTTCTTAATTTGAATAGAAACAAAGTAGCTACACTATAATTAAAAGATTTGTAAATAATATAAAAGAAGATCAGAAAAGACGTAGAAGCAATTAATACTTCCTTCAAGAATTTCCAATTCTGCATAGTTTTCAAGAAGGAATCCTCTATGGATAGGAAGCTTCTTTGTGTTGATTTTAGTATATTTTTGTTGATTTGTGCTTGAACTAGAAGCAAACGTCATAAGATATGAAAACATTAGGCTGATTAGATGCTTCTAAATTGACAAAACTCCATAAATTAGCAAAGATCCTTGTCTTCTGCTAGTGGTTAAGTCCACGAGATAAAATGCTCAGAGACATGTTTTTGTGAAATAGCTAACTAATGCTTTTAAAATTGTACTTGCTTCCATAATTAGTTTAATCAATTCAATTCAGTTTGAAATCTTTCGATCATAAGAGATTTCACATGTTTAGAATCAACTAAATGCATAAATTTACCCTCGTATTTTATAGAAAAAATCTTATGGTACCTAAATTTGCAAACTTATTATATCCCTGAGCTTATAAATTTTGATAGCAATAATAATTTTTTGGTGTTTTTTGAAATTTATGTGCAAAAATATTTACTTCATGTATGGTTATTATAATCTTTGAAATAATAATTTTTATATTTTTCAACTATTCCATAAATGTTTAATCGATCTAATTTTACAAACTCAGGTGTTTTTAATAGAAAAGCTTTTGCAAGTTGAAGTATTCAATAGTTTAAAGTAAAAATTGAGAGTGCTATAAGATTTTTTATATAACTATATTAGTGAATTTATGCATTAGGCCATTTAGAATCGCATGTGTAAATACGTGCAACACCTTCGTAAGACGGTCCACTGCATTTGTATATACATATTAAGTTTATTCAGGCTTGCTACGGACTATGATCACATTTTCCCTAGGGTTGATCATGTACTCAAGTTTGGATCATGACACGAGGGCTGACCTTCAAGTTCGGGTCATTCCGAATTGAATAGCAATGCAAGCCAATCGTAGGTTGGATACTTTATAAGTCGAGTTGAGATTTATCGCCTCTAATAAATGGATTAAAGCCATGTAATTTTTGAATTATTTATAGATACTGCAGGAAACATATTGATCAGCAATAAAATCTGGTGATGGAACCATACTTTGATGATTGAACCTTTTGTGATGAAAAGGTTGCAACTTATTCAACAGTTCCGACAAAACTTTCTCTCATATATTGAAAGAAAACTAATAATTTATCATAAGAACATTAAGTGAGAGACTTCTTGTGAGGTAGCGATGTAAGGGAAAGAGAATTTTTGATAGTTAGGTCTGAAATGCTAAATACATTTGTGCAAAAATAAATTTTTTCTTTCTTTAACCATACCATGTCCGATATCCATTGACCTGAGTAATCTAGATTTTCGCAGAACAAGCCAACGGCGGGGCAAATCGCTCTCTTCCGAGACCTTTGATTAAAAAAAAATGGATCTTTGTCATTCCATCTCATCTATGGGGATCGTACAAAAATAAGTTTATTCGTGAAAGAATGTGATCCAATAAAACTGTCGGTAGTGAGTTAGAGGTACAACTACCCAAGGAAATTGAATGAGGCAGTTGAACTTTGCTTGTAAAGAACTATTACTCATTAATTACCCTCCAAAAAGCATGCAATTATAACGACAAACATTTTCAGTATTTTTGGAATATCTACTTGTACTTATTCTGGTCCCACTTAGCATTTTTTGAGCAATTTAGTCAATTTACAAGCTAATTTAGAAGATAACAATAGTTATAAAACTAACAATGAAACTACAATACAATACGATAAAGGAACCTAGTCCTGAAATTTTAACTCTTAATAGACCTTTTATATTGGAATCCTTGAAAACAACGAGGAATGCAGATATACAATAATGGGACGACAAGTCTCATAAAGATATGGAGATTGACAATGATTTGGTAGAACATGTTTTTAATGTTGACTTGCTCATCTAAATAGGGTTGTGGATCAGTCACAAGCACTTCAGAAACATTGGGTGAGACATTTTAACTAATAACTCGACAATGCTCTCGTCAAAACTACCTTTATATATATAAAGCATATGGAGATTGACAAATGACTTTGGTTAGTAGAAACATTTTTTAATGTTGACTTGCCTCATTCTAAAATAGGGTTGTGGAATTCAGTCACAAAGCACTTACAGAAACATTGGGTGAGACATTTTAACTAATAACTCCGACAATGCTCTCGTTCAAAACTACCTTATATATATATATATATATAATATATATATATATATTCATATATATATATATATATATATTATATTTTTTTAGTATTATCTCAAATATCCTCTTTATCCTTTAGACACGAAACTATTTTATTTAAGGAGTTCTAGTTCCTTAACTTTTTGCATGCTTACATCGTTTATTGTAATTTTTTAAATGTGTCTTATCGTTAAGTACACTTATATATTTTTTTTTAGTATTATCTCAAATATCTCTTTATCCTTTAGACACGAAACTATTTTTATTTTAAGAGTTCTAGTTCTCTAACTTTTGCATGCTTACATCGTTTATTGAATTTAAATGTGTCTTATCGTTAAGTACACTCATGGTGAGTACTTCAACAAATGCTAAAATCATGGTTTTTGACAAATCTATTTCTAATTGTTATATCAAAACCTTGAGTATATTCTTATAAAAAAAAAAAAAAAACCTTAAGTATATGCAAGACCTATAAATTTATTCATTGAGATATTAAAAATCTTTTAATATTAGATTTGACTATTATAGCATGCAAGCCCCTGTATAAGCTTATGGGCCCATTTGATTTAGATGTTAATACCAGTTGATAGCCAGTTGATTGCTGTTAACTAATATTCTTATTTAGTAAAATTAGCAGCAATTTCTATTGAAATATAAAATGATTATTAACAGCATAATTATTATTATATATATTATGGTGCATATATATATATTCACTTTATTTTTTATTTTAATGTATTATATAAATAAAAAGATTAATTAAATTTGTTTAAACAATATAGCACTCAGCTTGTTAATTAGTATCTGACTATAATCTGAAGACTAAATAATAATTTTATTAATTTATTCTCCTAATAAAATAAATTTCATAGAATAAAAACAACCAAATCCAAAACACACATAGGGAGGCTTTTTAGTATATCCTAATTGACAAGTGGCTAAAAAATTATTCTAATACCAAGTTCTTATAGAATATGTCAGGCAATGTCATGTTCTGCAATTCAATAACAATAATTTTGAATGCAATTGCGTAAATTCTGATTCAATTCACGTCTAGAGAGAGAAACAAGGGCCGACACCGATCTTTATACTTCACATCCTTGGATTAAAATCAGGAATTAACCATATGGACTACTACAGGAAACAAGAAAAGAATAATATTCCAAATATCTGTATTAGCATTATATATACCTACCAATTTAGACACCGCATATTTACATTATAAACACAGTTGAAGGTTTTATACAATGATTCACACCTGCTGTCCTCTTGCTAGTGTATCCTCTGAATCTGGCAGTTTGAACACAAATAAGAAATATCAGATTTAACAAAATTTTTTGCATAATATGTCATGAACGATGTTGCAGAGGCAATTAAAAAAAGAAAAGCATAATAATACTAAATAAAGTAGAAAAACTAACGAAAACCAATACCTAATAGTCGAGTGTCTGCAATGCAAAAAGTTTACAAAGACAAAAGGGAATTAAAGTACAATATCCAACTAAACCGATAAAAGAAGTCGGGTGATACTTGATGTTGAAATTTTGGGGAAATGGTAAAGAGTAGCACAAAAAGTTAAAAGATGCACTAAGGTGTATTTCTGAAATAAATCAACTTTGCATATGCTTTTCTGATAAAAAGAGGGCCATATGCAAGTTCTGTGTATCATTGGAACATTCAACAATCATGACGCACAATTTTGTTGCATTTTTAAGCATTAAACAATCAACATGAAATAGGATCGACATGATCACTTACAAAAAGGAAAGATGAAGGCTGTAATTTCTCCAGACTATTTCCTTGTCGCATCAATAAACATGGCTCGAGTCCAATGTTCAATATCCTCAGCTTGTGATGGAGGAGGAGGAAAAGTGGGATGTTCTACAAGATCCCATCCATCAATAAGGCTTTCATTCCTTCCGGCATCAGATATCTCAGTGGCATAAAGGAAACTGGTAGCAGAATTTGGAAGATTATTATCACTTATGTTTTTCTACAAGGCAACAGAGAAGGTTAAACATCAATATTGAGCATTGCAGAGGAAAAAACATTCAATTCCATAGTACCCAAAACTCATTGCACAGAAAGACAGAAGGCTATTGGGAATTCCGGAGAGGCATCACAATTTTTTAAATAGATATTCAGGGAGATAAAAAAAGAAATGTTCTTTGAAAGGGCCAATAGCAATGGACTTCAGAAGCAAATTCAAAATACAAGGTGGTCAGATGCTGCTATTATCACTAGTATATTTGGCAGAATAGAGGTAGGGCAACTCATGATCATTTCTTTGTAAGCAATTAAAACGACTACTTCATTTCCAATGAACTTTAGACCATTCACGACCACAACAAGAATTTTATGGAATTCAACATAACCGAGTTAAATTCTATTGTGTGAAATGAATTTTATATTTTATATTCATTTATATCAAACAAAAGGTAATGTAATCGAATATAAACATGAGCTAAAATGTCATAATATTTCAAGAAGCCAATGTTTAGGGCATACTGTTAGATGAAGCGCATGTGCACTCTCAAGCAATGTGCTTGATGAAATGGTAGAATTTACATTCCATACAGACTTGTTCAATTTTTGAACCTGCTTGCATGACCTGAAACACAAAAGAAAAGGAGTCAATCAGGGATGGTGGAGGAAGTCAGTAGTGTAATAATATCTTTTAGAGTTTTAATGAAGAGAAGTTCAACAGTGATGAGGTTCAAACTTAGATGCCTACTCCTAGCGCGCTTCCCCCCAACCCCCAACAACACTTCTCTTTCTTTCTTCTTTATAACTCCTTGTTTAATAATATTATCATGAAGAAGAATAGTCCTTAAGAAATGAGTCCTGTGATGTAAATCTCTAATTGAAGGCAGAAGTCATGCAAGCTACTAATCATTAAACTTACTTGTAAGTTCTTTCAAACAATAAAAAAGAAAAATTACTTTCAAGATATAAAGAATAGATGATGAAAGATTTTGATATAATTTTAACCATTATAATGTTTGCTAGTTCAAGAATCAGTTCTCAGATAATTCAGCAACTAGGCTTATCCTACCTCTTTCAAATACTAAAACAACATATATACAAACATAAAAGACAAGAAATACACATACTATTGATTTTCCCCAAAAAGCTGATTTCAGCCTGTTCTGCCAACTTTTTTGTCATCTGAAATCAGCAGTGAACCATAAAGACATTATTCTTAATCCTATACACGATTGATGAGAAGTTACCATCTGAACTTTCAGTTTTTCACTGCACATTGTAGTTAAAGTTATTATTAATTTAGCCAGGCAACTCTCACTAGAGAGTTGTGATGCTAAATAAATAGAAAGATCATTTGATACCAAGCATTACACCAACTCCACATATATAATTATTGGCTGTAAGGAAGTCCCAAAGAGAGTATTAAGGCAATAATTCTTGGGTCTTCGAATGGAGTGCATGCAATTGCACTAGGGTTCGATTTTTCCCTATCTCAAAAGATAAGACACAAGGGAAAACTGAAATTCAGATGATCACATTCTTCCTTATCCATTATTAATATGGCAAGCTAAAATAGTAAAGCATCTTGAAAGAGAGGTAGTGATGCAGGAGCATATGTGTTTTTTCCTATTTAATTTAGGATTAAGTTTCTTTTACGTCTACTTTATTTAATTATGTTTCTTTTCTTATTTAATTTTGTTTAAGTCACTTGTCATTAAGTATCTATTTATTTATGTTAGGATTGATGTTTATATTACTTATGGTACCTAGTATAAATAGGTTTGTAATAGACAATCTAATCATCTTCTCTCCTGCTTATCAAATTTTATCCAAGAGGTTTTACTCAAAGCTAATTACATTTCTTTTGATTCAACAACATCAATTCCATTCAATCCTTATTGTTGAGATACTAGGGCCCTAGTGCTTCAGCTGCATCAAATGGTATCAAAAAAAAAAAAAAAAAAAAAAAAAAAAACACATCAATTCCATTCAATCCTTATTGTTGAGATACTAGGGCCCTTGTTGCTTCAGCTGCATCAAATGGTTATCAAAAAAAAAAAAAAAAAAAAAAAAAGAAAAGAAAAAAGATCCAAAAAAAAAAAAAAAAAAAAAAAAAGAAAAGAAAAAGATCCCACATTTCTTACAAGTATTTTTGGCTAAAACACTACCAAACTGAGAGGTAGATGTACAGGTAAAGGAAGAGGCAATCAACCTCATCATGCAGAGTTGGCTGAAATGTGGAGAATGACTGAGGACTTGACTTAAGCTCTGAAAGCCTTGCAGCATTCAGAACCAGTGGGAGCCTGAATGGAGAATATGGAAGATAGAATTCAACAACCTGTCAATTCGAGTTGGATTATCTAAGAGTAAAAGACAAAGTACTTTATTGCTATCTTGCTGGTTTGAATCATTCAACTAAAGATGAAATGGGAGTAGTTCACTTTTACAGTGTTGAGGATGCTCGATAATAGACTTTAGCAGCTGAAAAGCAAGTTTTACGCCATGGTGCTAGGAAGCACTTGTATGGCATCAATTGGCAAAACAGTCTGGAATTGAATGTGGTCATCATACAATCGGGACAAAATTCTCAAAGTGCCATTGTAACCAATAAAACCAACAGGGGTGCAACTAATGTTAAAATAACAATAAAGCCAAGAGCATAGTGCCTTATGGAGGATAAAACAATTCCAGTTCTTCCACAACTGAAGGAGGTAAAAATTCTCAAATTCAATGTGTTACCTGTGGAGAGAAGAGTTATGACTCTTTTGCTTCCCATAATGACAGGTGAGCTCAGTAGTTTGGTCAGGAGTTAGTAACAGTTTATGATGACTATGGATAGGAGATAGAGTTAGTTGATGTTCATCCCACACAAGGTGAGTCCTTAGTCGTACAAATAGTGATGACAGTAATGATCAATGAGGAGAAGTGACGCAGGGGAAAGATGTAGGGCTGTCAGTTTTCAACAAGTAAGCTAGAATAGGGTTGATCATAGGTGGAACAATAATCAGTAATTAGGTTTATAACCTTTGAAAACCTTTTTGAATTAAAACTTATGAGAAAAATAAGATGAATTACAATACTACTAGTGCTGTCTATTTATAGTGAATAAATCTTAAACTAGACTAGGAATCCTAATTAAAGAAAGAATTTAAAACTCTACTCCTATTTAAGATAAAATTAGTAAATTCCTTAATCAAATAAGGAAACGGAAAAACTAATGCAAAATTTAAAATAAAACAGGTTTAAATTAAATTAAAATCCTAGTTTTGAAAAAGACTCAGCTCCAACGGAGTTAAACCTTTGATAAATTTCCGCATATATGGGGCTGGATTCAACTTGGCTTTAGCTCTTCTTCAGAAATCCATTGTACTTTCACTTGCTTGGTTTTCCAAACACTTAAACTAAAAAAATTCCGTCTATATTTGGTTGCACGCTTAGAAACGAGGCTTCCCTTGACATCCAACACTTCCTCAATTAACATTCAGCCTTTTGCAATTTGGCAGCTCTTGTACTTGTGCTCAATGGAGGAAGGGCACTTCCATCAAATCCATGAAAAGGATACAAGATCTGAAACATTAAAAATTGGGCTTGATTGTAAAGGATACAAGTCTGAAACATTAAAAATTGGGCTGATTTGTAAATCAGATGGAAGATCAATTACATAGGCATTGGAACTGATCTTCTTCAACACCTTACAGGGTCCAAACCTTCTAGATTTCAGCTTATAACAAGTTACTTTAGGGAAACGTTCTTGTCTTAAGTGGACGAGAACCTGATCGCCTTCTTCAAATTCTTGTACGCGCCGATGCTGGTTGGCTGTATAGGCATATGATGCATTGCTGTCTTTTAAGGCAGCTCTCAACTCTGTATGAATTTTCCTGATGTGATCAGCAAACAATTCCCCTTCAGCACTTACTCTAGCCTCTTGGGGCAAGGGCACCAAATCGAGTACATTTTGAGATTTAAGTCCATAAGCAGCCTCAAAAGGAGTCTTCTTTATACTTCGATTGACTGAATTTTTATATGTGAATTCAGCCTAGGGAATAACTAGATTCCATGTCTTTGTATTGCTCCCAACGAGACATCTTAATAGATTTCCCCAACTACGATTGACAACTTCCGTCTGACCGTCTGTTTGCGGATGGTAAGTACTGGAATATTCCTATTCAGTTCCAAATTTTCTCCATAAAGTCCTCCAAAAGTGCCCCATAAACTTTACATCTCTATCGGAAATAATAGAAGTTGGAACACCATTTAGTCTCACAATCTCTTGAAACAATAACTCAGCAATATGAACTGCATTAAAAGTCTTGAAATGGGATAAAATGAGCCATTTTAGAGAAACGATCCACTACAACAAATATAGAATCAAATCCCTTTGCTGTCTTTGGAAGTCCCAAAACAAAATCCATACTCAAGTGAACCCGAGGTGCATCTGGCTCGGGTAAAGGAGTATATTAATAATCCTGTATTTTGCGTGCTTCCCCTTTTCCGAGTAAACAGGTCCCTTTCCGAGTAAACAGGTTGGACATCATTCCACCAATTTTCTCGCATCTTTTTCCATCTTTGGCCAATAATAACGGTCAGAAACAATCGCAAAAGTCTTGTCTCTACCAAAGTGTCTTCCCAAACCATTTCCATGAAGTTCTCTACTAATTTGTTCCCTCAAAGATCCTTCAGGAATGCACAACTTATTCCCTTTGAATAAATAAACATCTTGCAATCAGTATGGCAGACTTTCAGCTTCTGAAGATGCAGCAAATCAGCCTTTATCTTGCCAAAACATGAATCTGAATCATACTGGTTTTTCAGTTTTTCAAAACCAGTAATTTGAGTGCTCAAATTTCACAAAATTAGTGATCTTCTGCTCAATGCATCAGCCACAATATTAGATTGACCGGATTTATACTTTAGTGAGAAATTAAACTCATCAAGGAAAGAACTCCACTTAGCATGTCGATTGTTGAGTTTATTCTGAGATTTTAGATACTTCAAGGCCTCAAGATCAGAAAAGACCACAAACTCACAATAAGCTAAGTGATGCTGCCAATGTCGAATAGCTCGTACCAAGGCATAGAACTCTAGATCATAAGTTGAGTAACACTTCTTAGCTTCAAACAACTTCTCACTAAAAAACTCAAGAGGACTGTCCTCTTGGCTAAGAACAACTCCAATCCCTTCATGTGAAGCATCACATTGGACAATAAATAATTTCTCAAAATCTGGAAGTGCAAGAACAGGTGCTCTAGTCATCAAAAACTTGATTCGTTCAAATGCCTTTTCTGCAGAATTTGTACACTCAAAACTTTTCTTCTTTCATAGATTCAATTATAGGACTCATAATTGAACTGAAATTTTGGATAAATCTCCTATAGAAAGAGGCCAAACCATGAAATCTTCTAACTTCTTTGATGGATTGCGGTGCTGGCCATTCGGTAATTGCACGAACCTTTTCTGGATGTGCTGGCCATTCGGTAATTGCACGAACCTTTTCTGGATCTGGTTTTAATCCTTCAGCAGACACAATGTATCCCAGGAATACCACTTCTGGTTGTAGGAAACAGCATTTTTTTCAGGTTTATATGCAGCTGCTCTTGACGAAGTACTTCTAACACTTTTCGCAAGTGTTTTAAATGCTCTTCCTCGGTGCAGCTATAAATCAAAATGTCATCAAAATATACCACAACGAAAGAATTCAAGAAAGGTTTGAGAACATCTGTCATGACTCTCATGAATGTGCTTGGTGCATTAGAAAGGCCAAATGGCATTATTAACCATTCAAATAACCCATCTGGTGTCTTAAAAGTTGTTTTCCATTCATCACCATGCCTCATTCTAATTTGGTGATATCCACTTTCAAGTTAATTTTGGAGAACACTTTAGAACCCGCTAGGTTGATCAAGCATATCCTCCAATCTTGGTATTGGAAAGCGATATTTCATCGTAATTTTGTTTATAGCACGATTATCCACACATATTCTCCAAGAACCATCTTTCTTTGGAGTTAATAAGGCTGGGCAGGCACATGGACTTTTACTTTCATGCACCAGACCTTTTTCCAATAATTTCTTAACCTGTCTTTCTATTTTAGCCCGCCGTAAAGGAGGCATTCGGTATGCAGGCAGATTTGGTAAAGCTGCTCCTGGTACCAAATCAATAGCATGTTGGATGCTTCTTAATGGTGGCAAGCTTTTCTCTTAATGGTGGCAAGCTTTTCAGTACATCTTCACTAATCAACTCCTTCAATTCCTGCAATAATCGTTGAATTTCAAAGGAATATTCATCTGATTTTTCAACCTAGTCAGCTCCTATCAGTTTGCTCATTAAGGCATATGTGACTCCCACCTCACTATGCGCAGCTGCAAATTCTTTAACACTTACAAGCCCATTTAATTTACTAGTTGCAGCTCCTTTATTTGCTATTTGCCTTTGTTTCTTCCTTGAGAGGATGCAAAGTGTTACTTCTTTCTGTTTGTCCCCCTTGTAGAATGAAATAAGTATTAGGCCTTATGGTCTTGTGGCCATATTCTGATCATACAACAAGGTCGTCCCACTAGAATATGCCAACATCCATTGGTACTACATTCACATAGTGCTTCCATCTGCCCAATTCATTTCCCATTATGAATTGCACTAAGCATTTGCAGATGTTACTTGGTATCTCGTGCCCTTTCTTCAACCAAACCTATTTTTGTATGGCATGAGGATGTTTTATTGTAGGAAGCTTTAATTTATTCTACAGTCTCCTTTGATATCTATATTTTCCATAACTTCTTCCATCAATGACTAATTACCACACTTGCCTTCACAAACAAATAACACGTGTACGGAAAATGCTACGCCTCCTCCAATCTTCTTTTCCTTCTTTGTTCATGGCTGTCATGACTGTTCGAACAACTAAAGACTCACCTTAAGCTGGGTGAACATCAATTTCTTCTACTTCCTCATCATGTTCATCAAAAATAGGGCCTTGGTCTTCATCATACTCAGCTTAATTCACCCTCCTTTGCAGACAGATGAATGAAGTATGTCCCTTTTCTCCACAAGTAAAACAACGAACTTGAGAATTGTTGCCTCTCCTTGTAGACGAACCAGAATTGTTTTGTCCACCATAAGGTACTATACCTAGTACCTTTCCCTTTATCGTTCCCATCAACACGGGTTATCTCTTCATTGTATTTATTAGTAGCGACAGCCTCTTTCCCGCTTCGTTGAGTTGTTTGAATCCCTCTTGCAGGTCCGAAATTGTTTTGCTAATTGCTTTTGTTTATGGGCCTTCTAGCACCGTAACGGGAAACTCGCTTTTCAGCTGCTAAGGCATATTTACGAGCATCTTCAAGATTGTGTAATCGGACCTCGGACCGATGGCCCCATTTCATTCTCTTTAAGGGACTGATCAAACCAGCAAGTGAGCAAGGAGATAATTTGTTCATTATTTCAGATTTACCAACTCAAATGGACAAATTTATTAAATTGGTGCCAGTGTACTCTTCAACGGAACATACTGATTTGTTTAAGCATGGGAACCTTTCATATAGGTTCGGCGATTGCTAAATCAACTGGTTAAAAATTGCTTCCTTAGCTTAGTTTCATTGGGCTCCCACGTGGATTTAAGCGTTCCTTGTTGTGCGGCTGCTCTCTGCAAACTCTCTTCGACATTGAAGTGCAGTACTCTTTCAATTAAGCTTGACAAAAAAGCAGTTTGTGGGTTTCAACCATTGGTTTCCATTCAAAATAAAATTTTGCTAAACTAAAGTTTTTCCCAACTAAATAGTTCTTCGGCATGGCGATTCCCAGGAAAATTCAAGCAAACTTCAAGTTGAACTCCAAATCAGCAACTTCAATTTTAACTCCTCCACTATTTAAATCAAGAGCATGAAGTAAATGCTCTTCCAATCTGCCTCGTGCTGCTGGGTTTGCAAGTCCAGCTTCATGAAAGGGGTTTAAGTACTCGACTTCCTCTTCACTCTCAAGAGCTTCTTGAAAATCAAGGTTTTGGTGGTTGCCTTCCAGAGTCTCCATTCGGGCTTCCACGGGTTCCTGACGCTGTGAGGTTTGTACAGCCCGGGTCAAGTCCTCAATCATTCGCCGTATCTCATCTATTTCATCTTGTTAGGGCTGATTGCCTCTGCCTCTGCCTCTTCCAACCATGGCTTAATTCAGACAAAAAAGAATCCTAGGATCTGTTTTTGTGCTCTAATACCAGTTGACGCAGGGGAAAGATGTAGGGCTGTCAGTTTTCAACAAGTAAGCTTGAATAGGGTTGATCGTAGGTGGAACAGTAATCAGTAATCAGTAATTAGGTTTATAACCTTTGAATTAAAATTATGAGAAAAATAAGATGAATTACAATACTACTAGTGCTGTCTATTTATAGTGAATAAAATATTAACTAAACTAGGAATCCTAATGTTGAAAGAGAAGAATCTAAAACTCTACCTCCTATTCAAAGATAAAGAATAGTAAATCCTATCAAATAAGGAAATGGAACTATATCATATATCTCTTATATTAAACGATTTGTAGATATTTTAAGATAAGTAACCTGAGTGTGTTTGTCTATACCGAATTATGTACGTTATTTGTTCCTAATCAAATAAGGAAATGGAAAACTAATGCAAATCCGAAATAAAACAGTAAATTAAATAAAATCCTAGTTGTGCTAGGAATCCAATTAGGACTAGGGTTGCTCCTGCATAAAGAAGGAAGATTGGAAGCTTAGCATTTTCCATAAGCCTGTTGTTTTGTGGAGGTAAAGTATGAGATCTTGACATTAGTGGTAGAAGCATGGAGAATATCATATAAAATGATGCTGCAATAGATAAATTGAAGCATCCTACAAACGAACACCCTCATCCCTACAAAATTGGGTGGCTAAAGTAAGGGCGCAAGATACTTGTAACTTCTCGATGCTTAACGGAAGTACTTGGACGACGAATCTTTATGTCATGTCATTCCAATGGATGTGGTCATCATACAATCATTTATAAATAAATTCTCATGTTTGGAATTATATAACTTGAAAATTGAATTCAATTGGATTCCAAATTTTTATGTTTGGAATGAATCTAGAATTGAATTACTTTTTTCATTATGTACTAAGATACCCTTGTTGGACAAAGCAAGATACCTAAAAATTATATATAACTCATTTATAATCAATATTATGCCGATGTAGTTGAAAGAGGAGAGACACCTCAAAGATGGAAAAATTAGAGAGAGAGAGAGAGAGAGAAGATAAAGAGAAGGGAGAGATAAGCGAAAGAAGAGGGAGGGAGAGAAAATGGAGAGAGAAAGATGAGATGTTATGAGCATTTTTATCCACAATATATTTTATCAGTTTTGTGAAATTCATTTGAAAATTCCACAAATTTTGATAGAATTTAATTTAATTATGGTCAACCTTATAAAATTGTCATAGAATTGAAATAAATATTTTTTTATGTTCTAAACATTAGATATGTGGAATTCATATGTTCCAAACAGGGGATAACAGTTACAAAATATTTGGGGCTTGCACAAAAACTACACAAGTCACTGACAGTTATTGTTAAAGTTCATGCACAGAGCTGAACTAATGATGCACAGAAGACATACCTTGAACAAGCCATTTTTAAGGAAAAAACAGAACGAACTTCCTTGGAAGAGGATAGTGTCGCCAGCAATTTTGCAAATGCTTCAAAAGTAGATGCTTCAGAAGGTACATCCAAACATAGCAAGTTATAACCATATGCTGTTACACATGCCACACTTTTCTTCAGAAGTGAGATCCCTTTCTGCAAGTCCTTGTGTGTTTCAACAGAATGTGGAGATGCAGAGGAATAACTGAAGCTACTACTTCGAGAAGAATCTAGACGAGCTCTTCTCTCTGATTCCATTGAGGCAACACCGAAATTACTTGAGCTTCTATCTGTCCATGAATTTTCACCACTAGAAGAGCAATAATTTTGGCGTGGTATGAAAAGGGGATATTCATTGCTGATACCACCGAAAAGAGAGGGGAAGTTAGAAATATAAAAAGGCTGGAAGTCGGTAAACCTAAGCTAGCTACTGGAAACACAATAAGAATAAAAAGGAAATCCTTCTGGCAACAATACCTTCGAGAAGAAGGACAAGCATTCCAATATGAATCTCGTTGCCATATTCGAGAGCAAGAACCCTGCATGGGAAAAAAAAGAATATTCATTTAATAACTGGAGAAAATAAGTCAGTGACTCATCCATTAGTCTTTAAAAATAAGCATTCTTCCTGAGAAATGGACTTTCTGATTGAAATGTCAGAACTTCCCCTTGGAAAATGTTCCTAAGATGGTAGGAAAAGCCAAAGATATCTTAATATTATACAAAGAATCCAGAAATTAGAAAAGCATCAATATGCTTATCAGCACCATATATATGTATTTCTGATCCAATATTTATTCATCAATGTCAATAGCATTCCGAAAAGAGAAAAAAAACATCCAAATTGAACTCTAGGCATTTAACATATACATCTAGAAGTTGCAAAAATTCAAAAGCAATTATTTGGATAACTTGCATGAGCAGCATACAAAAATATGCGTTCTCAATATATGAACACACATATGTACATATATGTCTGCAATGCGCGCACATATAATTTTCAAAAAACCACCCCTTTACCACATGAACTACAACTTACAGGGCCTCCACTAAATCAAACAGCATTAAACAGAACTTAAAATTATCATGCAAAGTTTGAATGATAACTCCTCATTCAATTGACAATATTATTCAAACAAGTCAGACAAATTCAGCAAATGCCAAATCAAGGAAAACAAGGAGGACGAGAAGATGGTCTGAAGAAAATATTCCAATCATCGGAGCTATGAAGTGCAGGAATTCAGGCACAATGATGCTTACCGCAAAACCAGAGTTATGAAGTGCAGGAACAGCCAAGTTATGAACAACAAGATTTAGAAGTTGCACCATGTATCTGTTTTCCAATCATGGGGGCCACTGATTAGTCTCAACATAATTGTAAATGACAAATATTGTAGTTGCAGGAATTCATAATATCTTTCCCAGAAAAACACATCACAGAATCTTCTCATGTATTCTTGGATATTAAGATAACATATAACAAAAGAAAAAACTATTACCCCAAGGAGGCAGCAAGCTCTTCTGATGGAACAGAGTGAGGGTCAAGTCCTCTTGGTAACCGTGCATTGCATATTTGATCATATTGACCGTTAGAGCCATCTTTTCTTTCTCCTTCTATAATCAACTGAAAAAAAAAAAAAATCAAATGAATTCACGATTATCACCAACAGAAAGATAATTCTCCTTTTTGGGGGAAAAAGCACACACACACACACACACACACATAGACACAAAAAATTGCTATTGTCTACTGGAACACCTTTCAAGCCACCATCATAGGAACATAATTTTAAAACATCGTACAAATGTGTGATACTAGCACACCCATGCATGTACAACCATTATAGAATTAGTTTCAGAAAAATATACAACTTTTGACTAAACAGAATAGGAAAACAAGCATGTAATTTTTTTTCACAAAAAAACACTAGCACTCTTCATAGTTAAACTCTTTTAACATTCCATACTGACTATCTCCGGTTTTGTAACAGCTCTTCTCATTGCAACTAGCTTCATGAAGCCCATTCCAATGGTTTTTGGATAATCTATGTATAATATATAGTAGCAATATTAAGGAAACATATTAACTGGCTCTAAAGGACATAGATATAACTTACATTTACAAAAACGTTATTTTAATTTATTTTTTTTAATAGTTAAATTTATTGACAATATCATATTCAATCTAATAAAATTTTTCTTTCTAATTAATAAAAATCGTTTCCTAATTGTTATATTTTTTATTTTCTCGTTTAATTTTATCCAGTCCCTAATTAATATAAAAAACTTTCCTAACTAATATTTTTCCTCGATTTTTTGTATTTAATTTCATCGAGTCCCTATAGATACAGTAAGTGTAAACTAATTAAATCAATAAAGTCTAAACCTAATTACTGAAGTAGTTACTCTATTTTTATCATTTATTCTTTTTACTTTGAAGAAGCAAAAGTTCAATGATGTGGTTGCTCTTTATGATAAAGGTTAGGAAAATTACAAATCAACCCAAGAAAGCTAGCTCATAAAGCGGAATGAATGCTAGACTAGCAATAGGGGACTTAGTTAAAGGGAGCCCTGTCACTTGCTTTGGGAGGAACAACACTCACTAAAACTGAAAGGAGTAAGAGATTCCTGCAGACACACTCAGGGACATGGAAAAAGCCCCTAGAGAGAAAGCATTGGCAAATTGGGATACACCTGAACAAGAAAAACTCGATCTCATTCTGTTAGCTAGCAGTATATAAGTCTTTGTGATTCTTATTCTTTTCTTTCTGGGAGCCTCAATTGCATTCACTGTTGGCTTTTTTTTCTTGAATGGTTAAAGTCAAATCATAGGAGCTTAAGTATACCAATAATATTTGTTGTTTTAAGTCCGTACTTTACCATATCCATAGCCAATATTTTTGCAAAAATTTTATTGTTTAAATATTTCCCTCCAAAATGCAAGAAAATATCTGAATATTAATTTTTAGTTATAATTTTTTTTTTTTTTTTTTACTGACAATTGCAGTACTACAGTCTTTTTTTTTTTTTATATAGATTATAAATATTTAAAGGAAATGGGGGCAATCAAGATTTGAATCCTTAATCTCTTGTACTATGAGTTAAATAGTAAATGCTAAATTTATGAATGCATACTGACAATTGCAACTTATGACATGATTAAAAACTATATTAACTCAAATCGTTATTCTTATTTGTTTATAATTATAAATTATATCAGCTATTGTTATAGAGTTCTAAATTATTTTTATGATATAAGTATCTATTTATCAGATGATTCATAAACTTCTTATAAAGATAAAATATTTATTGGTCATGACTGACAAAATTATAGTCCACGTGCTAAAAAAACACTAATTAATGTAAAACTTCCAACCATTTTCTACTTACAATGGTTCTAAATAGATAATAAACTCATGCTCTTCTATTATGGTAGCATAAGCTTCTTGGCTTTCTTCAAGTCATTGGATCATGGTGGTCTGGATCCAAATCTCCCTTTCTCTCTCTCCCCAACACGTGCACGCTAGCACATTGACTTGCATATGTGCACTCATTTTTCTTACCATAGCCTTATCTTTGTAAGTCTTTATATATAAGAAAAAAGGGAAAAATTGGACATTTGATTTCACGACTTTCATATAGGATTGCAAGGTCCTTCATATCAGAAGTTTGAAATTGCAAAAGAAAAGCTAATGGATGTAATGATTTATAGAAACTAATGAAGACTCGCATGAAAATATATTATCTTGGTGAGGTATCCTCTAAACAATATTTAAAGAATAGAGACATAATCATCAAGTTCATGAACAAATATGGATGGCAGTCATAAACAGTTTAAGTCACTTGGAGAAATTAAAACACATTCATATCTTGAATGCTTACCCGGCGTTGGGGAAAAAGTTTGCACATTTGTTTTACAATGACTGATTGCTTATGAAGTAGTTCTGAGGTAATTGCCATCTGCATTGAAGGAGATGTCATAAGCAACAAAAGTGGCACTTAAACAAACAGGCAAGACAATAAATAGTCAAAAGTAACAAAAATACGAGCTATATAGAATCCCTATATTTTATTTTAACATCTTAGACCAAAAAAAAAAAGGCCAATAATATAAGTAATCAAATCATCTGTATGTATCAGGGCAGACAACAAATTTCAGCATTCAAATGGGATTGAACAATGGTCCTTACATGCCCTAAACTCTGAGTGCAAATAAGATTTGGAAAAAACTTCTCAATTTGTTCCACTCTGTTCTTTTCCAACTGCAAAACAAAACTATGCATGAGAAATTGATAATAATGCTGAAAGCAAAACCTGTATAGTTGATGACAGTAATTTACAATCCATATAGAAAATAGATGCAAATAGTCAATACCGCACTATGAGCTGATTCAAGCACCCCATATTTGACATTCAAATCATTGGACATCCTCTCAACCTTAGCCTTCCCTGCATGGTTTCATGAGGTATAACTAGATTAAACAATGAATAAAGAACGCCCATCAACCTAAATTGCATCCCAAAAAGATTAAATGGAGGCCAACCTTGAATGAGTTGTTCCTTACTACGACGGAGCTTCTCCCTCAAACTCGCAAGCTTCTCATTTTGAAGCACTCTCCAATTTAATTGATCATCTGCTTTCCCCTGATAAGCATTGCTATATTATAAGAACCTAATTCTTTTCAAATGCCCAATGAGACACAAGATAGGAGTAGGTTTTCATCACGAAACAGCAAGTCCTAAATGTTCAAACAGGGATAAAAATCAAACCTTTGCCACAAGAACTTCACTCAACCTTGAATACAAGAAATCCCGACGACTCTTCAGTGATTTCAACAACACATTATACTCATTTAATCTGAATAATACCCCAAAAAATTACAGAACTGTTTCAGCAAATGATCTCATATAAAATTTGTAACTAAGATTCTGAAGTTCAAAATAATAAACAAGAAAGTCACCTGTAATTAACACAAACAGCGCAAATAGAAGCGCGATTGGAATTCTCACAAATGGCACAGCAACTGGATTTTTTGTTCATAATTTACTTTTTCATCAATAAAACCACCTTTCCCTTCAATTTACTACACCCTAATCAACTTCATTAAGAAGAAATCAAAATCAATCTTTCATACTAATTCTTATCGGCTACTTCAGCGAACCACCAAACAGAATCATAATATTGAAGAAATCAAAGAAATAAACTGATAGAAGGCTTGATAACTCAAAGCTTTTGAGCTTCAAAATCATACCGGAAAACGTCCAATCGGTGGTCAAGAGTAGCCGTGGGTCTTCGCCGGAGGGATTCGTGACATCCAGCAAAAGGGTTTACATATGTTGGGAGCGAAATTGTTAAATTTGGGAATTTTTATTTAACATTTGCGTGACTTGCACACCACCGTCCTGTATGGGTTCAGGAAGGAGGGGGAAGTTGGGGGAAGAGGGAAAGAGGTGAAAACAATCACTGGGGATCACGAATTTCATTTTAGGGGGTGCCAAAATAGGCAATGAATGGCTAACACAGTTCTTCTAACACCCGAAAATAAATTACTTAAAAGTTGAATTCATTATACATTGTCGTCAATTTATCACACGAATATAGACGTCTCGTCGTGCGAGTTATACGAACGACCTGTTTAATTTTAGGTGAAGAGATAATTTTAAAATCAAATATAAACACACAACTAAAACTCTATTTAAAATTTATTTTTATAAATAAATTTTTTTATTTTAGTTATGAATCTTGGAAAATCTATACATTTTATATAAAAATTTATTTTTAAATATGATTGGAGTTAAATAGATTAAAACTTAAAAATATTATAAGTAGCTTAAGCAGGTCATGTAGACTAATAGGCAGGTTATATGGGTGGTATATGGGTTAACACAATCCACTCAACCTGTTTATGATATTAGGCAGGTTACACATATTGTGTTCGTGTCACCTGCCTAATTTTTGCTCGTGTTAGTGTTGAGAAATTTGACACGATTATTAAATGGGTCATGTTCCTATTAACCCTAATCATGTCGCATGTGTGTCGAACACAACACGCCAACTTATTTTGACACCCCTAAATTTTAGGGAAAATAATAATTAGATCCCTAAATTTGCTAAATTAACATTTGAGGATTTCAATTTCCAAAATTCAACTTCGAAGTCCCTAAATTTTAATTTCGTCAATAGAAAGGTCATTATATCCAAAATCAATGCTTTTTTCCGCCAAATGGATGTGTAATTCTAAAAATGCCCTATTGTTCTTCTTTTTAGAACTGTCTTTTTGGCTTCTTTGAATACAAATAATCACATTCAATATCGCCACAATAAGCACCACTATTGCCACAATAACTTCAACTTTCACACATTACAGCGTATTAGATTCAAATTCAACATAGGTTACAGCTATCACATTTTCTATTAGGTTGTAGAAAGATATTACAGGCCCAACATCAATTTGCACAGAGATAGTCACCTTGCTATCATCAAAGACTATTCTATCAGGTTCATCTTTGACTCCTGACATTATCGTTATCGTTATCGTTATTGTTGATATCGATATCTTCTCCTTTCTTTATTACCAATTGTAAGAGTGAGAGGTGTGGGGGTGTTAATCTCAAACTCAACATCCTTAGTGATAGCTGGAGAAGAGAACGCTAGAGTAAGCGTGTTTAGAAATGCAATGGACGAGAGAGTTAAGAACGAGGAGGAGGAGTTTGGGGAAAGATTGATAGTGGATGACTATAATGGAGTTGACTTTTGTAATGAATGGCTGGAAAAGGTTATGAGATTGGCTATCAAGTGAGACTGGTTCGTTTTAGGGTTCTAGAAATTTCTTTTTCCCTCCAATGATAAAAACCCATCTTTTAAGTGAGGGTATTTCCGTACTTCCACATCTTGACGGAAAAAAAATATTAATTTTGGACGGAATGACGTATCTATTGATGGAATAAAAATTTAGGATCTCAAAATTAGTTTTGAAAACTGAGGTCCTCAAGTATTAATTAGGCTAAAACTTAGGGACTCAATTATTATTTTGTTTTAATTTTAACTAGTTATTTTATGACATGATATTGTCATTAATTTATTATTTGTTCATTATTTAACTAGGAAATTGTTCATTATTTACTCATTCTTTATACTCATTAATTTATTCTTATATAATATTGAGTATGGTTACAATTTTCCTCTAATATTGTTTAGATATTTATAATATCAAAAGTATGATTTCAATAGCAACAATTTTAAATTAAAATCTCTATTTATTTAAATAATATTCATATTATAAATAAATAATATTATTCTTGAACTAATTTTTATATGATAGAACAATGTGTGAAGTTAAATATATTTAATAAAACAATTGCATATAATAAAATGAAAAAAATCATAATTAATTATAAGATAAGACTTTAATTAACATTCAAGATTTTAATAAAAATAACTGATTGGAAACAAGCAAACTAGTGATGAATTAAATAGCATAATAAATAAAAATAGAGATATATATCTTAAATAATTTTAATATCTATTAGTATTGAATTACAATTTTAAAATATATAAATTAAACAAAAACTTTCTGGATGATTTAAAATAAATAAATTAAATAGGTTAGATTATTAGATCAATTAATAGATTATTAAAATTATAAATTTTAAAATATATAATTAAACAAAACTTTCTGATGAATTAAAAAATAAATATAATTAAATAGGTTAGATATTAGATTCAATTAATACGATTTAATTAAAATTATATATATATATATATATATTATATATATATATAGTAATATACTTATGACTATTTAAAAATTATAAATTAAATTATTTATATATTAGCTATTAAATTAATTAAAAATAAAATTTTTATAGAAAAATAATAAAAATCTTCTAAAATAATTAAAAATTCAAATAATTATTCTATTTTATATACTAATTTTTAAAAATGTATTATAATATTTTTAAATTAAAAAGTTTTTTAATTGAACTATATTAAGAATTAGGATAACCTTCAAATTTTATTAAAAAATATTTTAAAATCTCATTATTTTTTCCGCTCATTCAAATATTATATATTTTTAAATTAAAAGTTTTAATTGACTATAGTTTAAGATATTTAAGGATACCTCAAATTTTATTAAAAATATTTTAAAAAATCTCATTATTTTTCGCTCATTCCCACTTTTATGTATAGTATATATAACATATATATTTTAATTGAAAAGAGGTGAAAGCATGAGAAAATTATTTGAAATAACATTTTACTCCTTGAATAACTTTTAATTTAACTTTTTTCAGCCTTATACATTGGCAAGCCAAATTACAAATTAGTCATATTCTTACCTGTGATTTATATTTGAGTAATTAATTTAAAATACCATCAAATTTACGTTTACCCTAAATTCAACTTAATGCCCTGGACAATACAGTTTCAAAGTTGCATTATAATTACACCCCCAATTTAAAAATCTAGAATTCAAAAATGAATAAAAAAATAAGTGACAGAACCCACAAGGACCACAATAGTTAACTCTAACTCAAAATCACTTTACTGAAACAATATGTTTAACTAATCCCTTTTAGCCTATATTTTGTTGGAGATAATGCAATGTAATGTAATCAAAGATGTAATGCAATGAAAAATATAAAGGGAATATAATTAAGATTTCATTACTATGTTTAGTAATATAATTGAGAAAATTTAGGAAAGGAAAATTATAACTGTGCCCCTATGTTTTATTAAAATTAACTGCTCTACCCTTATATTTTTTAAAATACACTTTTATACCCATGTTTTAGGTCTGTTACACCCAGGGCCCCTTCCATCCATTTTGTGCACTTTCAAAGAAAAAGTCAAAGAAAACCTAACGGTCTTAAGAGAGAGAAATTTTTTTCACCAAAACACCCTCTTCTTTCTCTTCTAGGTAACATTTTCATAACTTTCTCTCCATAACTTACAACTTCTCTATAACACTTTCTCTCCCTCCATAATCACTACCACCGACATGTAAGAATATCTCAATGGATTTCTATTTCAGAAACATTCATTTTTTGCAAAAATTTGAGATGGGTCAAAGCTCAGAAAGGTAGAAATAAAAATGACAATATTTAAAGGAGTTTAGATCTGGAGACAACGTATGCTTGGCAAGTTCTATTTTGGCCATTCCAAGAGTATCTAAGAGCTGAATTGCTTGTGTTAGAATAATTTGCTGTAACTTTTTACCACATAAAGCTGTTGTGCATGAATCAATGAGCAAAAACCAAGAATAATAGCAATTATACAATTTCTCTCACTAGTTTATCTCTCTTAAATAAGAAGAAGAAGAAGAAGAAGAAGAAGAAGAGATTACTATAGTAATAGAAATTATTATTCTTCCTTATTGTTATTGTTGAAATAATAATAAGATTATGATTTTCAATTTAGAAAGAAAATATGAACAAGTTTTCTCTCTCTATAACTTTTGGAGTTTAAGAATTTATTTGATATCAGTTTTAATTGGAGATCAAAAAGAAAAATATATGTAAAAATTGAGTTTCCCATAAGATTCTAATTATTTTGGTGGTTAGATTGAAAGATTTTGAGATAACTCAATTTTCTGGGCACCGCATGTAGCAGCACCGACGATATTTTAGCAAGACAAAAAATGGTTTCAGAACAAAACTGATTTTATCTTTTAGTTAGGGTCATTGAAGTCATTTCATAGCAATTTAACGTCTGAAAGTGCATAAAATGGACGAAAGGGGAACAATGTATAACGGATTAAAAACATAAGTGTATGATAGTCTATTTTAAAAAATACAAAGATATAGTAGTTAATTTTTACAAAACATAAGGGTACGATTATAATTTTCCCTTTATGGAATGTAATCATCATTCCAGTTTTATGTTTGTTTGTACATATGTAATGGAATTGGCACACCAGCACCACCATCTGTAACGTTCCTGAATTTTATGAATTATGAATATTAACTTACCGGGCCATGAATAGTGCCACCTGAGAGGAAACCGATATTTTTTCAATCTGGAAATGTTATTTTTCATAATTAATATTTTTAGAATTTATTTTGGTCCATACATGCATAATTTTGATGGGTAGAATTTAAGTTATGATTGTTTGGTAGAGATAAAGTAATTAATAAATAATGTTTCAGGTATTTTTAGAAATTAAAAAAAAAATCAAAGATTAATAATATTGGATAAGTTTAATTAGTTTTGTGGAGAAAATGGAAATTTTGGAAGTTGTAGTAGAATGTGGAGAAAAATGAAATTTTTGGAAGTTTTAGTAGGATATTGATATTTACAAAATTACCCTCTTATCTCACACCCTCTCATGCTATAACATTTCCTTCTTTCTTTCTTTTCCTTTTACCCTTCTTTTTCTTTTCTTTCTCTTCTTTTCCCTTCAGTGGTTGAACACCCTTTCTCCCTCTCCTCTCATTTTTTTTTCAAACTCCGCCAAAAATACTCAAATTAAATCAAGGGACATGAAATCTAACTACTTCATATGAAGGTTAAAGAGT